AAAAAAAAAAAAAAAAAAAGTAGAAAGAGAACTGAACCTTTAAAAAAAAAAAAAAGTATGTAAGTCAGTCCAAAAAGTGTGTGTGCACTCTGCCTCTCTCACAAACACACACACACTCGCACGTGTGTGCACAGTCTTCCCCATGGCTTCTGAAACAAGCACCAACGGGCAGGCAGGAGGTACTTACGATAGTGAGGCTCCATGTACCCATTCCTGGGGTCCATGGCAAATACGGTCCCACGGTAAGGGACAGAGGGCTCTGCCAGGTGTGGCAGGGATCCATGGATCTCCTTCTTGATCAGCGAGGCCCTCTCGTCACTCGATGTTGAAGGCTCCTCGCTGATCTTGCTGAGTCCCTGGACACTCTGTGGTTGCATGGTGATGGCGTTTCTTCTCTCTCTGTGATAGGTCTGTCCAGGACTTTCATCCTCTACAGAAAGAAGGAAATGAAAGACTCAGTTAGCCACTGCAAGGAGTAATTAAAACCTCGTCATCAATTAGGTCTCCCTCTTTACCCCTCCTTGAAAAAGAAGCCTCTTTCTCATTCATGGCAACTCGGAAAGCTACACACCTGTGATAGGATATCTTTAAGACAAAACTGCTTGTGAAAGAAGAGGCTCCAAAATCCACATTGGCGGAGGAAGGGGAGCAGGACATGAGCCTATTAAATTAGTCCTCGCAGGTATAGCTGCATCTGCCAGTGAGGCTTTTCCTCGTGGACTTGCCAAGATCCCACAGGTTCCACGTGGACCTCAAAGTTTTGCCAACCTAAGGCCGCGGGTGTCCAGCTTCCCTTTATCTGCCTAGGGAAGCGAGGCCTCTGGTCTTAGGAGAAGTCCAGCTACCCACAGAAGCTCTGGGTGTCTCTAGGGGATGCGGGGCTCATGTTCCTCAGAGGATGACCTATTAGAAAGTGAGTCGAGAATTTGGGGGGGTGTTCTTTTAAGTCTTTGTAACCCACCAAGAGATTTCACAGACCCAGAAATCGGACAGAAAACCCACTGGCGACACAGGATAGCCAGGTAGTCATCATAAAGACCTACAGAGCCGCTGGTGAGACTCACAAGAAAGCTGAGGACTAAGAAGAAAGCTGAGTGAGACTGAAGTCCTGATGGGAGATGGTTCTGTGGTTAGGAAGGCAGGCACCCGTTCTGCTGATACAGTGCGCGGATAGGATCCGTACAGGTCTTCAAACATGTATGAGAAGCTGACAAAATTCCACGTATCCTTGGCATTCTGCTTCCTAATACTTCAGTGGTCTTTGATCTGTAAGAACTTCCCATCTATCTGCTATAGTTCTCAGCACATGTGATTGGAGGACTTTTCTATAAGAGCAGATCAAAGAACAGATGCAGAACATTGAACTGAGTTGGGTGTCTGGACCCACAACCAGTGGACCAATTTGCCTGTTAGGACAGCATGCACTCGGAATTATGAACCCCCAATAAGCTCTCCTTTAATCCACACTCCGTGCTCTGGCAGGTATGTGCTGAGAATGGACCTGCCCAGGCACTGCTTAGACATTTCATTCAAAGACTTTTTCATTGTAAAACATTTTTTATAAAAAAACAAAGTACCAAAATTATCCTTGGGTATAAATCACACTATGTCTACTTTTTAGATGGACTGAACTTGAAGACATCTCATCCAAGCATGTTAAAAAAGCTTCAAAGTAATCCATAAAGCAGACCAGGCTAATAAGAGGTCTCTAAAACCCCTCCAAAATAAATAAATAAATAAATAAAATGCATTAGGCTTTAAGTGTTCCTTAGCTCTTGGTTCAAATTCAGAAGAAAGTTGGACTATAAACACAGACAAGCATATAAATACGACCTATTCTTGTGTTGAGTGAGAGCTTGAACTCCCTCAAGCCAGTAGCAACTTTGTTCTGCCTGCACACAAGACTTTAAAAATACGCAATGCCTTGTTTTAGCCTAGCAAATGCCCAGGCACTGCTTAGACATTTCATTCAAAGACTTTTTCATTGTAAAACATTTTTTATAAAAAAACAAAGTACCAAAATTATCCTTGGGTATAAATCACACTATGTCTACTTTTTAGATGGACTGAACTTGAAGACATCTCATCCAAGCATGTTAAAAAAGCTTCAAAGTAATCCATAAAGCAGACCAGGCTAATAAGAGGTCTCTAAAACCCCTCCAAAATAAATAAATAAATAAATAAAATGCATTAGGCTTTAAGTGTTCCTTAGCTCTTGGTTCAAATTCAGAAGAAAGTTGGACTATAAACACAGACAAGCATATAAATACGAACTATCCTTGTGTTGAGTGAGAACTTGAACTACCTCAAGCCAGTAGCAACTTTGTTCTGCCTGCACACAAGACTTTAAAAATACGCAATGCCTTGTTTTAGCCTAGCAAATGACCTGCAAAACAGAGTAAGCAAAGAGGTTTGTTTCAGCCTCTCCAGTCAATTTGCTGACTACCACAAGATAACTGTGAAATATTATTTGGGTATTGTTTTGTGCAGATCCTCTCCCAAATCTCATAATTAAGGGGTAAGTTATGAATTTAATCTATCAAGCATCAACCAAAATAATATATAAAACACTGGCATAACCCCACATTTCTCAGTGATCTTTAAAAAAGCCATTTAAACCAGGCTTTTGGTAATTAAAAAAAAAAAGGACATTTTAATTTCCCTTGGACTAGCACTTTTAGGCACTAGTCCAACTTTCTATTTCATTAGCAGGAAAGCTGCAGGCTTTAGGGTTTTGCAGTTATGGAAAGCACAAGAGTGTCAAAAACACTCAGGTTGGTTTTATAAAAAGTCCTATAACCTATAAATGGCCCAAGTCATATTTTCCACCAATTCGCACTCTGCATAAAACCTTTCTTCCAGCACTCAGGTGCAAGTTTCTGTAGAATGGGACCTTGGCTTGGAGGTGGGAATACCCTTCCGCCAAGGGGCTGTAACACATTATCAGCATTCTCCGGGAAAGATGAATGACGAAGCTCTCCTAATCTCTTCCAGGTTTTAAACAGGATTTCCCTGACTTAATCTTCCTAGAAGAAATTAACCTTTCTTCTCTTAAAACTGTGTCCCCGCTTAAACTCGGTTTCTTAGGAACTATGTCTATATGATGAGTATTTGAATCCGGCTTTACGAGGAACTGAATAATTGGGATGGCTGGACCAGAGAGTCTTTCTTGCTTCCTTTCTACCTCACACTCCTGTGAGCAGGAGGTGGGGGGAGAGGGGATGTTTGGAAATGTGGGTGTCTTTGCTACCTGATTTTCTTAAAGAGAGCTAACTCAACATGTCTCAATATTAAAGTTATAAAAAGAAGTAACCAAAGCTCAAATATTTAACACGGGGAAAAAAAAAATGAAGTTCCTCTCTTAGTAAAGTTAAATACAAGCCAAAAGAAAATTGTTCTAAATGTGGAAACTTTCACCAGAAGACTTACTTTTGCAACAGTTGGTGCTACCAGATTTTTCCCCACCCACCCCACCAAATTCCAATTCCGGCAGACAAATATTTCATGAAGTTTACCTCCTGTACTGAGTCGCTTTTGATGGGCATTTAGAGGCGAACTTGACAGTACACACACTCCTGAGTACAAACAGCTAGGAGGCTTGAAAGCAGTCTGTATACAGCGAGAGGGAAACTTTCCAAGCAATATTCCTGCCTGCTCTTATAAATTTAGCAAGCACTTCAGCTAGCCAAAAGACGAAAGCTGTCTAATCTTGTTCAGTTGAGCCGAGCTGTTCAATAAAGTTTGAGAGTCAGTGCAGACAGGCTACGCCAGGCCAAATTATTGACAGAAACATACTGTCCACCATGGTAACAAGCAGAAGTCTGCTGCAGAAATGTAAGCAAACAGCCCCCTGCTCCAAGATCATCTGCCAATGGACTTTAACAGCCAAACACAAGGCGACTGCTGGGCCTTCTCTGTGTAACAGCTGCAGGCGTGGGGGTCAAACTGAAGCATGCAATTCACTACAAACTTTCAGGGAAAAAATGACTTTAAATACGGTCGGTCATCGTAATCCCACTTGGTACTCCTCCTCCTTTCTGCATATCCATGCTCAAGTGGAAGTCAGCAAATCCCTGCCCCCAAACAGAGAGCTGTCTAAAGCATCGTGTTTTAGAAACTATCCCAGATTTTCTAAACTCCTCCAAAAGCAACAGGCACCCAGCCAGCAGTCGGAAAGCTGAAAACTTGGAAAAATCAAGGCACTCGTTGCAGTCCGTGTTGAGGAGGCTAGCAACACAGGTCTGGAGAGCGCGATCGCGCTGCGGGAAGCAGGACTCGAACACACACTCTTGTGCACTTGCTCACAAACTCCTGTACAATTTCTCACTACAACTGAAGAGACAAGTTCTTTCTGACCCAGGACTTAGAAAAGTTTCAGACCATGCTTCCATTGAAAAACCAAAAACCAAGACCGCAAAACAGGACTCCGCCAAGCATCACTAAGGAGGGACACCTCCTGTCACCTAACCAAACTGGCTGAGTAGGAGTTCCCAGTACACGTGCTCATCCTTTTTCCCCTTGACATCAATTTTCAGCTGTTCCCTGAACTCCTGTTTTAATACTCTGACTTCTCTTCCCCCAAGACCTAAAGCCACAAGAAGAAGAGAACGGGCGATACTTACAACTCTGTCCCCAGGCTCGGGCTAGCTACTTTCTGCAAACTTCTCTTGGTGAGTGAGCATTCACTAGCTTTGCAGACCCTCTGGGAACATTCTCGGTGTCTTGCTGCCTCGCTCTCCCTCTCCCTCTCCCTCTCCTAGGCAGTGCTGCTCCCATTAGAGGAATTAAAAGTGGTTGGAGCCATGCTAAATTTAACAAGCTCATTAGTATTCTTTCTGAGTGCTTCCGAGTGAACTCTCCCTATTCAAGCCGCTCTCTCCAGCAGAAGGGTCAGGCGGCTAATCATTAAATCAAACTAATGTCACCCTATCACAATCAGCCCGAGAGAAGGAGGGTTTATTATTTCAGTTTATGCTAAATAAACGGTTTTACAAATGGTCCCCAAGCAAGGTCAACAGCAGCTTCAATTACAAGACAAACTTAACAAGAGTTGCTGTAAACCAAGTACTCCGTGTTGACTTAAGAACAGGCTCGGTTCCACATACTGCCACTAGCAGGATTGCACAGGAATGCATATTGTAAAATAAAGGAAGGGGTGAGCTTTTCTCTTTGCCAGAATCTGCGACTGCACAGCGACTCCTCATTCACCTCTCTCCAACCAGCTAGCCGCTCAGCTCAATTCACCCCACACAAAGGCTGGAGCCCAGACCTCAATGGACCGAGTGAAACATGTTCAAAACTAGGCTCTCTATTGTGACTGAATTTCTTAACATCTTTTCAAAAAGCGGAGAATGCCTTGAGGCTAAAGGAAGAAACAGGCTAATGGTGAATTGGGAATTCTGAGCAAATTTCAGAGCCCTTTCCTCCTAG